TTATTTTGTTAATTAAAGATTAACTTAAACAGCTGATTTTGTGATTTTGAAGAAGAGCGAATAGCGATAACAATCAATGGCGCTGATATACAATATTAAACTATCTTTTCCGCAAAATGTCAAATTCTAGAACTACCAAGCGTTTTATTGGACTGTTTCTTAGGAACGTATGTATGTATGTACATATGTATGTAAATATGTATGAAATATTTGTGAATATAGTACAAACGGTAAAAAGGATAATACTATTATATTACAAGTGCAAGAAAATTTAAGCCATTTATCCTCTAACCGGTCACTCTATAGAAGTATTAAAACATATCTTGCTTAACCAAAAATCTGTTCATACATAATACATATGTAAGTATGTGTAGTATATTTACTTTTCGCATTAGCCAAGTGTCCCCGATGAGTTCTAAATTATAATTGAGGATAATCCTTTCCCCCGATGAGAAAATAGGACGGTATGAACGTTATGCTCTATGAAATTATCAATTGAAGAATTTAGTTTTATTAGTAGGCGTGATTTTGGTTCTAAATATATATATATAATACATATGTGTAAGAGCTAATACATAAATATATGTGTATATTAGGGTTGCCCTTGGTTGTCAATGTTTCTTTTCCTGGTCTCCCGCCATAAAAATGTACAAATGTCCCAAAACCAAATTATACATATTTTAAGGTCATTTTTCTCATTTTGGTTTTCCATATTCCTTATTATAAATATTACTAGCGGCATTCCTTTATTAAAATTCTACAGATTCTTGTCTTTGAAAAAGAATTAAAATTACTCAAATCAGGCGTATAATAATAAGGCTATAAAAAAAAAACAAATACGGTACGAGTCTTTTATGGTCTTTTTTATGTATGGTGAATATATGTACTGAGTTTTATTGTTAGTGTTTTTATTATTCAAACAGAGATGTGTAAAAAATATAAATTAAATTTTAATTATTAAGAGCTGTCAAGGATAACTTTTTGTGTGGCTCGTATTTCTTTCTATATTCAGTGACGATTTGTAACAAATATTACTTTTATTCTTCATTATTTGTGAAGTTGCTATTATATTCTTTAGTGAGTTTAATGCCTACTTCCGTTGTGTCATTTACAATTTTTATATTCGAAACAATGTATTTTCATTATTTATAAGTTTCCGCATCATCTTATTTAGTATGGAGGATTTACATCCAGAAATTGAGAAGAAACACCAAATCGTTCAAAAAATCTCTTGTATACACTGCCACAAAAGCATGGAGTTCTCTTTCTATAAACTGAAAATTGATTAATTTCACTGGGCTTTATAAGTAAACGTTTTACATTTAACATTTTTTTTTGCAATTGTCAATGGCTTATAATTTTTTTGACAATATTCTTTTTCGTAGTAATAGAAACGTCTTTGAATAAGTACCATAGTTAGTTGAAAGCCTTTCTTATTGCAATATAGGTTCTTTTTTGTTATTAGTGGCTGTGTTTTTTCGTACTCAAGTCCCGATGAGGTGCTTTAGATGGATTAACGCAGTTGAACCAAAGTTTGACGTAAAATCGTAAAATAAAAGCGCATACATATATCGGCTAAACAGTTATTTTCCAGTACAGTTAGCTCAAATTCTTCACGAAATACATAGATAAACTTTTAAGCAATAGATCGCCTTCGACACGCAACTTGCATGATGAGTAGGACCAGGTCCGGGAATATTTATGTCATTGCTTGCTCCGAAGTAAATTGTGCTGAATTCCAATAATTCTCTGCAGTCGTCTCTAATTATTTTCTTTTTTAATTCTTTTTTACAAAAATGTATAATAATGTCTTTAGTGTCATTTAAAATTGCTTTAAGAACGTCATTTTTTAGGAAATCTTTGAAGTTATTTTGGTTAATGCTCTTGCAGTTGTCTAGAAATCGGCAAAATAATTGAACATCCTTAATCGTAATTTCTGCAACATTACATTCGAAAACTGCTCTCAGTAAACGTTCATACATATGATGTCGGCAGGGCAGGAGATAACTTTTTGAACTCCTATCAATTGTTCTGTTTTAAAAAGTAACAGGAACCGGAAGGCGTTCGACTTTTTCACGACCTGTTATTACTATTAGAGCTCTATATACCCGCTTATCGAGCATTGTGAACAGCTCGATACTCGTTGGTTGTTTAACTGCTCAAATGTTTGTTTTAAATTTTTCAAATTTCAATCTTGTTTGTCAAGATTTCTTTAGTATTTCATAAATAAAATCAAAAATCAAAACTATAGAGGAAAGAAATGGGAGAAAAGTCAAATCTTTTATTTCAAATGCTCAAAAAAGCAAATCGAGTTAAAGTTCGAAAATGATCGAGTGTAGTCATTGCTCAGATGCTCGAGCAGCTCGAAAATGTTCGAATAAAATCTTGAGCTCTAATGTATATGTATATATTATAATAAAAGGCACAAGTGTTCCATTAAATAACTAAGAAAACGCATTGAAAGATTAGCGGCATAAATAAACACCTAAAATTCTAAATTTTTTCAAGATTTCAAACGCCGTGATGCACTTCTAAATCTTATTTGTTGCAATGAGATTTTATATGCACACATATGCACATATATTAATTCTGAGCCGTCTGGAATATTTCTAGAGGTGAAGCCGAGAATTCGACCTCAACTTAAAATAAGGGCCACCCCAATGTACATGCACTACATATGTATGTACATATATACATACAAATACATGTAAGAACGTGTCAGTACTATGTTGTGCTGCTACCGAAATAATATTTAATTGTTAAGATTATTGTTTTTAATACGGCGCGACGAGTTTACCACGCCGTTTTTCCTCATTATGAGTTTCGGCGAATTTTACGCGAACCCAAACAGCCTGTTGCAGAAAGCAATAACAACAAATGGTACTAGTTGAAATTTCTTAATTATTCACAAAGGAGGCTTACATTTTCTGCACCCAAGGAACACACATACATACATATGTATCTTATGGCAATGGAATACTTTTGTACAAAAGTACCTGGTATTTTCCTCAAATAAAACGTATTGTTATACCGCGTCTGGTCGACCAGTCACGGTCCTATTTGCGCATAAGTATTATGAATATATACCTAAATATGCAAGTACAGTTATTTTGCACCTAGTTTAGTTGAAGTACGAAAGTGATACTATTGCTAAGTATTAAGCCTATGCACGATGCAATATGTACACATAGATACATATGTATGCAACTAAGATATTTTATGCGTACTTCCATTGAAAAAATCATGCCTTTGTTAAGAATTCTTATTTGCTGTCTTCAATCATATTTTTCAATTTCGTAACGGATTAGAGAACATACACGTAGATGTTATTATACTACCATGAATTTGTAATATCGGTTACATGAAACTTGGGTCAAATGCCAATCCTTTCCACCATAAGGAAAAACATGGACTTTAGCTTAGCAATTATAGTAATACTTACAGACATATATATTTACAAATATATACACATATATATATATATATATATATATATATATGTAAACATGCATATGTATATAAATAAATGGAAGGCGATGATTAACCGTGCCTGGGTTTATTCTAAGCGCTGTACTTACCTCGCGATTTAGATCACATTAAGAACACCTCTTAGCTTACCCAAAATACACTATTGTATGTAAGTATTTAAACTCAATGCTTATACCATAATCCGAGTTGCTCATAAGTAGTTGGATTAGGTTAAACTGGTTGACCTAGCGGATGATATTACGTCCGTAGCGTTACCAGTTGACCAAAATACGATCAGGCTGTATTGCTTCCCTCCTTATTGTGACTCAGTTAGAATAACACTGCTGTTCGCTTTTCAAATGGAAGTAGTAAATAGCTCGTTTTCTTGACTGTTTCCTGACTGAAAGTTCCACAGCTCTGTCAGGTCCAGTAAGCATAACCTAAGTCAACCACTTGCTGGGCACTCATGGATTACGTGCTCCACTGTCGGAATCCCCCAATCCGTCGTTCCTTTTAGAACCACCGATAAAATATATTCCTCTTGACTGCGCTAAAATGTTATATGCAGCCGTTTGATGAACAAAGTGCATGTATCTATTGCTGTATACAGATAGTGGGCATAAAAACCAGTCTAATATTCAACGCGTCATTCTTAACTATTCCTGCAGTTTTAATACATACATCCCTACATAGATATCTACCCATATACATACATACATATCGTATATATATATGTAAGTGCGAGCGGCTAGCCTCGACGGTCTATGCTAGAAATGTATTCGACCTTGCAATTCAGCGACACAAAGCATCGAAAATTTCGCGATAATAATGTACTCTGCATGTTCATTTACGTACGCACCAGTGTTTATGTAAATATATACATATGTATATGTATGTATGTATGTGTTCCCATCGTTTATAAGTTATAAAGAGCTCAGCAGGTAGGTAAGTGAACATGAGTGATTGTTAAGGCACACTTCTCTCGAGTTTATCCGAGTTCTATACTTCGTCTAAATATTTTCTTGAGCAAAAGTGTTATCCGTAGGGATAAACTATCACTCATTTTTAAAGAGAGTGCAATTGTTTTTGAGCATGTACATATATGTATGTAGGTTTACAGATTTCCGTTTAGTTTCTGTAAAAAATATAAGGAAGTAACAAAAACAATAACATCAAAATCAAAAGTAAATGCAATAGATTTCAAGCACTGATCTGCTCGTTGCGATTTTGCAATATATATGCACATGCACATATTTATGCTGGCATGTACAAACATACATATGTACGTATGCAATTCGGCTCTCACCCCTCGAAGTCGACGCCGTTAGTCTACTCAAACACAGGTCAAATTTGAGCGGTCGCTTACACGCAGCATGTGCGAAAATGTCATGCGAAGGGATATTTATGTGCTATGACGAGCATAACAGTGCAACAACAAAAAAGAAAACAATAGCGAGAGAAGGTCGTGTGCCATATCTAATGCTCATGTAAAGTATATGTATGACAGCGATTTTTAGCTATATTAGACAGGATCCACGACGCGAGCAGTACATTTGCCAAAGAAACGTCGGCAGGATCACATCCATCGGTGCGGTTGTTAAACCAGTGAAAATAGAAAAATAAAAAATATTTCGTGATTTATGTATCGTAAGAAACCAAACCAATTTTTTTAAAGCAAAATGGCATCACTAAATTACTATCCAGAATATATAAACGCAAACAACGCTACGATGGCCCAACAACAGACCTACGCATACGCTAGTTATTACAACAATAATTTATCATATCACGAATTAAATGCTAATAACAGTTTTATGCATAATCGAAATGCTCATGCACATGCTCTGTTTGCAAATCAGCAAAATTTCGAACAATACAAGCGAGTTGAATCAAAAGTGCCAGAAAGTGTATATCAAAATATCGAAGGAAACTACAATAAAACAATGTTTGAATCTTGTGCACAAAGTGATAACTTTAAAAACAATTCTAGTCTGGAGAGTTTAAACACACCAACAACTCTCGTCCACACTATAAAAAAAGAAGCAAGAAAGAGCTGCGCTGTTGGAAATACGAAAACCATCTCCGAGGAAGCCATCTGTACACAAGCAGGAAAACGAAAATTTCCCGAGTCCAAAGAAATAAAGGAAGAGCAAAGTCATTTACGCGCGTTGCTTACCCATCCTGTCAAGAAATTAAAGTACAATCCAGATTACTACAAATCAACAACGGAAAAAATAGGTTCGCCGGAAAACCAGACATTAAATAACACTGCAAATAACGTAAACAGCGATTTTGAAAACATGGCGACGTTCGCCGTTAATAGTCAACCGATTTTCGGGCAGGATGCTGCCCATAACATTAGAGGTATATCGACACCATCCACTCTTAGTACACTACCATCGCCGGGTAGCAACGGAATGAGCTGTATGGAAGAATATTCTCCACAATCTATGAGACGATTCAACCACAGTAAAAGCAGCGATTTCATAACACCGCCACCATCGAATGATTCTACAACTTCAACCGGTGTAGTAACAGAGCCGCCATTGCTGCCGATACCAACACTGAAAGCCACTGAACCAATAATAACCGAACCTCTTACAAAGGCAACGAATGCACCTCTTGGGGATGCGATTAGCACACCACCCTTGTCACCGTGTGAACAAGCTGTCAATCAAAGTGGACAGGTTCAGCCATTGTCAGTGCCATTGACGGTAACTCAACACAATAAGATCAATCATAAAATTTTGACAGACACTGTAGCAGAACTTAATTGGTCGTCGTGCGAAGACAGCATATCAGGTAAATATGAGTCAAAGTACTATATACCAGTACATACCATTATGTATGTATATATGTATAAACATTTAAGCATTTTGCCGACATCAATTATATTATCTTCCCTTTTTCTTTTTACAGAGAGTAAAGAATCGAAACGTACCAGACAGACTTATACACGCTACCAAACGTTACAACTCGAGAAAGAATTCTATACCACTCGTTATATTTCGCGTAGACGTCGCATTGAAATCGCAGAAGCATTGTTACTCTCCGAACGCCAAATTAAAATTTGGTTCCAAAATCGGCGTATGAAATCGAAAAAGGAACGTACATTAGAACCACCGACGACAGACTACAATGGTTTGGCATCCTACTCAGCTTTAGAAGTAGCTAATCCAACGATCCAGTCGCCATCGCAAGCTCCGTTTGTCTATATGAATGGTCAGTCGCACAGTCCAGTAATGACACCTTATCCACAACCCTACATGGTTAATGGTCAGGCATATCCGCCAAATTATATGAACGCTTATCCAGCACAAAGCGCCCCACCACGTTGCGGCCAAATGTTCGATACACCCGCAGCGGGAAAACCGTTCTTCAACCAAAGCAATCATGAAAATCAACAACAGTATCCACAAGAGACGTCATATCGTTTGCCACAGCAGTACCCGGCGCATGCCTATCACCAACAACAGCACCAGCAGCAGCAACAACACCACCACCATCACCACCACCACCTCCAGCAGTGTCAGTACCAACAACCGTCGAATCAAACATTGCCTCAACAACAACAACAACCACATAATTCACATTCACATCAGCAAAATCAGCTGCAAATGGCAAACGCAACAGCAGGATCCTCGATGTTGTGATGACGAGTGGTGATCCACAATGCTCAAGCAGACTCACCAGTATTTTACGGTGTGTGAGTGCGATAACTGTCTTTGACACATTACGGGCGACGAAAAACTGAATATGTGGGAATACAGAGTCAACGACTACCTGCAGTGTCCCGCACCCAACGAAGTAGGGAACACTGTGTTGAAATGGGCAAACATACATATACATGCATATTATGATTAGAATGTGGAGTAAGAAACTGGTAAAGTGCATTCAGACGGAGAATGCATGTATTTAAAAACTGTTTGTGGCCACGGCCGTATGTGTGACGACCGTGTCAAAAAGCATAATATACATATGTATGTCTATTTATTATATGTTTAAATGTATGTATGGGTGCATGTATTATTATTATTTATTAGAATATAAAAAAAAATACACTAACGTATTTAGCGCACTAGCTGCTAATTGTTACGTATGTATGTATGTGTATGTAAAAATTAAAATAATAAAACTGTTTATAATAAATATTTATTTAGAATATACTAAAGCTGGCACCTGTGAGACAGACACGCCTTCTGAATACAGTATGTAGTCATACAAACTTAAATTATTATTAGTAGATAATTACTACTATTCTTAAATAACTTAATGTTAAAATCAAAACAAACACATGCTTTCACATTAAACAATTTTGAAAAAAATGCGTGCGATTAATTTTTTTTTTTTTTTTTGTGAATTCAATCATCCATCCCCTAAGTGCGTGGTGCAGCAACTCATGCGCAGATACATAGTTAGGACACAACGCGAAAACTTGGTATGTGCATATGTATATATATATATGAAACTGTGTGCATATGTCCATGTAATGAAATTATAACAGCTGCAACTCTATGCATAGATAGAAACATATATTTTTCACCGCCGCACAGATTTTTCATCAATAAATTCTGTTTTCGGCAACAAAAACTGTCACATTTTGCTGACCCTAAATAAATTTTGGTAAAATGCATGTGTGTGTTGTTGTATTTACTTAGCGCATCACAAGCGGCTTTAAATGCAATACGGACAAAACTTCGCGGGGGAAATACGCATAACACATACACAAACATACTTGCACAATTACACATACACACACATGCATACGTATGTGTATTATTGAATTGCATTGCTTTGTATTATTGAATTGCATCCAACATTGATTGGTCATTTTTCATTCTTGCCAACTATGACATACATATGTACATAGCCTGGGTATTTGAAATGGGTTTCGGCAGCATAATCCATTCAATGACGCATGTTTGCTGTTGAATGCTTCTGATAGTGAATTTAAGGCAAAGTGATAAAAACGTCAAATGCGAATAAGCTGGAGAGTGCGTTGAGGCAATGCCTTAATAATATAAGAATGTATACTTATAAATGTTACTTTGTCGATATGTATGTGCAAGCATATTAATTTATTTCCACCATTTAGATTTTAATTCATAGCTAATCTTAAAAAAAAATTTTGGAATTAGCGAATGTTTCTTATCAACAGAAGAATTTATACATACCGTGACTAGTCTAACTTTCAAAAGCATATTCAAGGAACTCGTTATCACGATATATATGTACCTAATTCTTACACACAGATTAAATGAAAAAAAATATTTACATACATACTTCTTCTTCTTCATTGGCACCGTTTACGCGATTATAGCCGAATCAAATGTAGCCATTCATTCCTTTTTTGCGCTGTTTGGTACCAATTAGATAGAAATACCAAGTGAGGTCAGGTCACTCTCCACCTGATCCTTCCAAACGAGTGGAGGTCTTCCTCTTCTGCTTCTACCGGCGGGTACTGCATCGAAAACTTTCAAAGCTGGAGTGATTTCATCCATTCGGACGACATGACCAGCGTAACCGCTGTCTCTTCATGCGCTGAACTATTTCAATATCATCGTATAGTTCGTGCAGCTCATCGTCTGAGGTAATCGCCATTGCCAATGCGCAAAAGACCATAAGTCGTTCGCAAAACTTTTTTCTCGAAGGCTGCTAAACCCGACTTATCAACTGTTTACACCGTCCACGCCTCTGCGCCATATATTAGAGCGGGTATGTTGAGGGACTCGTAGGGTTTGGTTTTCGTTCGCCGAGAGAGTACTTTACTTCTCAATTGCCTATTCAGCCGAAGTAGCACCTGTTGGCAAGAGTGATTCTGCGTTGGATTTCAAGGCTGACATTATGTTGTTGTTGTTGTTGTAACCACAAGTTATTCCCCGAATTGGTTTTCGGGGAATATTGCGGGAGTGACAGTCCTTGGCCGGATAAAAAATCAGGGTCGTTCCGGTATAAAGACCCGACTGTCGCGGGAACTATTGGATTTTAGTCGCCTCTTACGACAGGCATGCCTTACCACGGGTAAATTCTTGAGCCCCTAACCCGCAGGGATAGGCTGACATTATTGTTGGTGTTGATGCTGGTTCCGACATACTAGTGTGGACAAAAAGTACTAAACTTACTAAACGACCAAAAGTGCCTTCGGCGATGATATAATGTCTGATTTAATTGAGCAAAGACGTGCGGCGAAGTACTGAAAAGTTGAAGATGCTACAGAAAGCCTTTGGGTACTCAATTATGTCGCAGAAGAACGTGTATAAGTGGTACAAAGACTTCGAAGAGGGTAGGAATCGTGTTGATGACTTAGAGCGCTCGTGACGACCATCATGGTCAACTGGTGTGCAGGACGTCAATGAAATTAAGGAATTAGTGCTCAAAAATCGTCGATTGACTGTTAGAAACCTTATTGATATGATTGGAATATCTGTAAAAACGATTTTGAAAGACTATTTGGGCCTTCGAAAAGTCAAATCTCGTTTGTTTCCAAAACCACTCAATTTCATGAAAAAAATTCGTCGCGTTGATATGTATGAAACCATGCTTTCTGACTACCAGGACAAGCTGAAATGCATGATTACAGGTGATATTCGCCGGACCTAGCACCATGTGACTTCTGGCTCTTCCATAAACTCAAGTGACCACTTCGAGGACACCGTTTTCAGTCGATTGAGGAAATTAAGCGTGAATTGGCGCGCTTCCTAAAAGCCATACAAGAGCGTGACTATTTTACATGCTTCGATAATGGAAAAAAGTGTTGGCATAAGTGCATTGCATCGGCAGGGAACTATTTTGAAGGTCACGAAATCGACGTAGAAGAATAAATAAAAATTTTTAATTTTTCAAAAAAATTCACTTTACTTTTTGCCCACAGTAGTATATACAAATATTTATAGTGTCAGAATGTCTATTTCATATCTATTTAGTACTTTTTAAAACAAATTTTATTCATTTACTTTGTTTTCATATTTGATTTCGCTAAAAAGCAGCATTGCAAGCGTACACACATACACACAATATTTTTTAACGAAACTCCACTTTTGGATTCCGTGGTACTGTCAAACGAAACGTAGGCTTTTTTCCGAATTTGTGTGTTCACTGAGATTGAGTTTTGTCGATGAACATCAACTTCACAAACTAGACCATTTCAAATGACAATAATTGAATGACGAGCAACATGATTTATTATGAAAATAATTCAGAAACCCTACCTCTTAAGGGGTGAAGCCACTCTAAGATTTTGGAAAACGCATATTTTATTTGCTCACAGGGTACCCTTGGGTTCTGGAAATGATATGCGATGAGTTTTAAAACGAAAAAAATATTTCGAATATTTGAAATTTTTATTGTACTGCAGCCCCTCACATGATTACAATGACAACTTTCAATGCGTTTTCTCAAAATCACATTTTTCTAACTGGGAAGACAGATTATTCGGACCCTATTGTATCGATTTATATTTCCTCTGGAAGCACGTATACATCTTTTGTTGAAATGTAGACTCTTTTTTTTTTAATTATTTTTTAGTCTAAAATTGATCGTTTTAAAAACAGGTGTGCCGCTCTCACAAAATTTAGATGAACAATTAATCCGTACGTAATTCTAAAGACCAAACGTTGTAGATTTTTGCTTTTCTGTTCTAAGCCTCATCCTTTAGAAGAAATCGGTCCTCCCGTGGACGCCTTTCAAAAAAACATAAATTACATAATGGACTTTAGCACCGCCATTTTGTAACAAAATAATAATTAAAGAATATTTTAGATATATAATATTTTCGATGCAATGGTTAAATACAAATTATATTACCTTCCTCTTATTCCTAGAACAAATTGAGTCTATTTTTCAACCTCTAGAGCGCCTTTACCTCTTAAGAACTGTCCCTCATTTTCTCAACCCTCTTCTTATGACAGGAATCCAATCACTTATTACGCATACTCTAACAACTTCCATATCAGTCATGTTTTTGTACCGTTAATTTACTTAAAATAATTTTTCTTTGAAACCCTAGACTTAAATTGTCCTTTAGCTCACCAATTAGTAACAATAAAACTTATAATGCATTCTGCGAGTAGGATTAAAATATACCACAAATAAGACTGAAATAAGCGATCCCCTTTATGAAAGCAATTGGGTCAATATTCATCCATACCTCTCATGGATTTTAGTGTTTAACGCCGGCACTTCATGTGATAGAAAATCAGGAAATGTGCGAAACAAAATAATCAGGGGTGTACAGATATAGATTTTTGCCGGAATCAGAATTAATACCGACAAAATTCTGTTTAAGGGGTACACATTCCGATTATTGATTTGCAAATCGGTTTCATTTTCGAAACACAATTTGTGTCGATTTTTGTTGTTACAGAAACCAATTTATAGGTTGAAATGTCAGCAACTTTACCAGCAGAAATGTAATAAAAATTTAAGTCATAAACAATGGATTTTACAACCAGGAATGCCTGGAATACTGTACTTAGTGTAAAAATAGTCATTCTCTACGCTTTTCATTGTTGTTCCTTCCTAAAATTGTCGAGCTTGGGCAAATCAAAAGTTCAAAACCACCAACACCGTGACTGTAGGTCGCACTAAGGAGATAATCGACCCCCATCGATCATTAATAGGAGCCTTCTGCCAAAAACCGCAGTGTGGTTGCAAGTTGGAGCACAGGTGGGATAAACAGCCTATCTAATTTGTCCTCATTGACATCCAGCAATATTACAAAGGCTTCTGTGTTAAAGCGTTATTGGTCTATGAATCGACATACGAACATATTTTGTAAGAGCAAAAGTAAAAGTAGAATGCATATTGCACTTATATCGCCTCTGGTAGCTCCAGCAGATTGCTATCATGCCATAAAAATTTGCGCTTTATTCTTTGCAATATTTCTCCAAGTCCTTCTATCATCAAAAATGCTATCACTGCCAAAGTCATTTTATTTTTAAATAATCACAAGTGTGTTAAAACCAGTACAAAAATAAAATTGATTTGCTGGGTTTTTTGCACAAGTGTGATGACAGCTGATTCGGAAATCGGTTTTGATTACCTTCGAAAATAAATATAAAATAAAGATAAGTCCGCTAGTTTTATTGTTTTAAGATTAAATGCCTGTAAAACGCTATTTCGGTTTCAAATTTAATTCTGATTGACTCAGTTTTAATTATTTCCCTTAGTTTTCGCTCCGTAATGTGATGATTTGGAACTAAAACTTGTAGAAGCACTATTTCTTACAAAATGTTTATTTTTAAAATTGTTTCCGTCCGAGTATTGCATATTTCTGAAATGAAATAAAGACTCATCATACAAATCTATCACCCGTTCGGAGGCGTCT